CTGAATGGCCCCTCTTGTGCTTCCAACAATGCCTAGCTGAAGAACAAGGACTCCCAAGGGCCTGGAGTTCCTGGGGACTGAACCCTAGGCCTTTGATTTCAGGGACACTTATGTGCACCTAGCTTCATGTGGATCCAATCCAGTACAGTGAAACCTTGGGTTCTTGAACTTAATCCATTCTGGAAGTCAGTTCGACTCCCGAAACCCTTTGAAAACCAATGCACGGCTTCCGGTTGGCTGCAGGAGCTTCCTGCACTCAAGCGGAAGTTGCATCGGATGTTCAGCTTCCGAAAAACATTCAAAAACTGGAACACTTACTTCTGGGTTTTTGGCATTTTGGAGCCGTTTGAGAACCAAGACACTACTGTAGTGGCAAAAACTCTTTTTTTCCAGATAATACATGTACAAGTCACATCAAGCAACTGTTTCACAAAGCAAGGAATGACTCGATGAACACGGTGAACACTGTCTGCAGCTTTTATACTTATATGAGCATATATTATACTTGTATGAGCATGATTTGAAGATGAATTATACGGTAACTGATTCATTAGGAACAAAATGTTTTAATCAAACTGTTTAACTGGCTGAGAGTGCATTCCTCAGAGCAAAGTTTCAATGAGGTCAATGACATTTACTCCCATGTAAGTGTATATACGACTGTAGCCTAAAAACATTGCATTTCACTTTCTCTGTGCACACCGTAACTTCAAAACACCCTTGAAATGCTTTCTTTCCCCAAAGAATTCTGGGCATTGTAGTTTAGCCCTCACAGAATTCCCAGAAACCCTTTAAATATATAGGATGTACACAGTCTTAGTCTAGACTAAGGCAATACTGCAATCTTGTACAAAGGTATCTGGCAGTAAACCCAGCTGAACTTGGACTTCCTTCTGTAAGGCGTGCATAGGCTTGTGTTGCACAAGATCCAAAAAAAACCTGTCTTCATATTGAGAACACATGGCAAAATAAACAAAACGTTGCATCATCAAAAAGCATTCGGAAACAATCAAAGAGCCAAAGATTCTCAATATGTAAAATACAATTTATTATACTGAGACCATTCGTAACTATCAACACAATATATTCCATTCAAAACTCAAAATATATCCTCAATAAATACTGCCTAATCAAAGGGTGCAGTGTGTCAACTTAGTTATTGCACAATGAACTCTTAACATTTACAGGTTTTTTTATAGTGCATTTTGATTTGTTACAGGCATAAGCACAGAAATCCATTTTCCAAACCAAAACCGTGGGAAGTGATTTGTCAAGGTCTGCAGAAGACTCAATATGTTCCCATGTAACAACAAAATACCAGCTACACTACATATTTGCTTATGCAGCTAGAAAACTTTATATCTAGTATATTTACATCTCCTTTTTTTCCTTATTTAAATATTGTTTTTTTAAAAAAACCAACAACTATGCCCTATTAGTGAATTTCAGATTGTGGGCTGAACTACCAGCTTCCAAAAGCTCAATAACTTATCTGGACTGAAGCAATATAATTTATACTTTCTATATTATTAGACAGTATCCCTTACAAACAGCTAGCATTTGGATAACTTTGGTGCTGTCTTAGAACTGCCCTCACTGCATTCAGTGCAAACATAACTTTTCCCACTTCTAGGGTAAGTTCTGAAAAAAATAAAATCAGTTTTTTTGAAAAATCTGCAGCCTGGTTAATCTTGAACTAGGAAAAAGCCAGTTGTGGAGGGCACCAATTGGCTAGCATCTATGACATTACTAACTGCAGAGGCATTTGACCAGTGTACTTCTCTGCTTGTATTTTCTGCTCATGAGAGGCACCAGGTTCCCATGCTTCTTTATCAGCTGAGTTGGAAGGAGTGAAAGTGGAGTCTTCTTCTTTCTCCCTGCCTCCAGCAGGAAAGTAATGGCATGCAACCTGCTTTTTCCCTGCTCACAACTGATGTTGCTTTTTCAGCATGGGAAGATGCAGGACTGAGAAATACTCATTTGTTGATTTTCCCCATCTAGGACTGAGTCTGAGCATTGGTCCACCTAGCTTAAAGGTAAAGGGACCCCTGACCATTAGGTCCAGTCGTGACCGACTCTGGGGTTGTGGCGCTCATCTCGCTTTATTGGCCGAGGGAGCCGGTGTACAGCTTTTGGGTCATGTGGCCAGCATGACTAAGCCGCTTCTGGCAAGCCAGAGCAGCGCACGGAAATGCTGTTTACCTTCCCGCCAGAGTGGTACCTATTTATCTACTTGCACTTTGACGTGCTTTCGAACTGCTAGGTTGGCAGGAGCAGGGACCGAGCAACAGGAACTCACCCCGTCGCGGGGATTCGAACCACCAACCTTCTGATTGGCAAGTCCTAGGCTCTGTGGTTTAACCCACAGTGCCACCCGCGTCCCTCCACCTAGCTTAGAGGGGCGTAAACTGTCTGGCTTTCCAGGATTTTAGACAGCCATCTTTCCCAATCCTTCTTGGAGATTCTACTCTGCATAGAAAGCCTGCACTTTGCCACTAATCTGTGCCTCGTTCCCTGTGTTTTATGAACAAAACTTCTCTTCATAAATAAGATAGGAACCTTAATTCACCAGTCCCTTTTACAAAAGGCCACATTCACAATGAACTGTAGTTTAGCATGATGTGGATAAGTCTAGCCTCCTTGGGAGCTTGTGTGCACGGTTAGAAGATGGGAATTTGGGATCTTTTGTATCTAGTTAGCTGTAGCTAATTGTGGTTTGTATGTTTTTTGAGCAGCAAACTGTGGTTCACACTAAACTTCATATCTTGTTTCAAATAAGCTCAATGTCAAACCATAGTTTCTGAAGCACACATGCTAAAATTAACTATAGTTAAGTGTTCATCAAAGTTCTGAAAGAGAAGAGGGAAAGGAGGTGTTACAGAACTCAAGAGATCAGACCTGTTCGTGGTGTGTAGGGATGGGAAGCTTGTGGCCCTCGAAAATGTTTTTGGGCTGCAACTCCCATGAAGCTCAGTCAGGGATGTTAGGAGTTGTAGTCCAACGCCTGGAAGGCCACAATGTCCAAATACAGCCACTCTAATGACCAGGTAGGGGACGCGGGTGGCGCTGTGGGTAAAAGCCTCAGCGCCTAGGGCTTGCCGATCGAAAGGTCGGCGGTTCGAATCCCCGCGGTGGGGTGCGCTCCCGTTGCTCGGTCCCAGCGCCTGCCAACCTAGCAGTTCGAAAGCACCCCCGGGTGCAAGTAGATAAATAGGGACTGCTTACTGGCGGGAAGGTAAACGGCGTTTCCGTGTGCTGCGCTGGCTCGCCAGATGCAGCTTGTCACACTGGCCACGTGACCCGGAAGTGTCTCCGGACAGCGCTGGCCCCCAGCCTCTTGAGTGAGATGGGCGCACAACTCTAGAGTCTGTCAAGACTGGCCCGTACGGGCAGGGGTACCTTTACCTTTAATGACCAGGTAGGGTGCTCAAATTGTAACTAGGTTGTTGTGCTTACCCTTTAGGGAATTTTGTTTGCCAATCAATCATTCATATCCACGTGTTGTGTAAAAGCTTACATTTCTCCAATAACTATTTGCCGATGACTCTAGTGCCATTGACTCATAAATGGGTTTAGTAGGTACCTAGCATTTAGCATCTTTATAATGAACATAAAATCCCTCCAATTACAGAATGCAAACTTTCCAAGGAAACACATGACTAGCATTTCACAAGCATATACATGAAAACTACTTTTCATTTCAATTTTGCTGCACGCTTAAAAGTTGTTGCCGTTCAGAACACAATGATTATATTGCTGCATCTATAAACAGTTAAAAAAGAGACTGAAAGGATTCTTCTTACAAAAAAATACACTTTTATATAACACCCATTATCTTCAACAGGAAATTTTGTGGCTTGGTAGGATCGGATCCTGGAAATAGCTAACTTAAATGCAAACTTACTTTATTTTTAAAGTGACTGAGTTGAGCAAAGCAGTAAAGTGTAGTGCCAAAGTATCGCTTTTGAATTTCTCAACCATGGTGAAAGAGATTGGGGAAATGGTACATCTGCATTTGGTGTAAGTTTCTGAAGGATCTGCCCCAATTTTATTACCCTTTTAGTAACAACCAGCTGATACTGAGCATAGCTCTCAACTTTTCCCTTTTCTTGCGAGGAATCCTATTCAGAATAAGGGAATTTCCCTTTAAAAAGGGAAACGTTGACAGCTGTGATACTGAGTGCAATCCACACCCAACAGAAATAAATGGCCTAAGAAAACCCATTGATTTTTAAATTAGTCTGAATTGCAATATTGTTTTTCTTTTTAAAAAAGCTTCACAATCAATACACAACCAATGAATGTTTCAAGAATCAGGGCTCATTTAGTTGCTCCATATAAACTGACCGTCTGGAAGGGTGACAAAGTGTGCTTCTTCTCCACAACGGTTTGGAGCAGGTATGGGCCTCCTGTGAGACTCTAGACTGGTGTTTCCCAAACTTGAATCTCCAGCTGTTGTTGGACAACAAGTCCCATCATCCCTAGCTAGCAGGACCAGTGATCAGGGATGGTGGGAACTGTATTCCGAAAACAACTGGAGACCCAAGTCTGGGAAACCCTGCTCTAGACACTGCTGGATTCCAAATCCCATCAGCCCCAGCCAGCATAGGCAATGATCAGGATGTTGGGGATGGTAGTCCAGCCACACCTGGTGGGCCACAGGTTCCTCATCCCTGGTGTGGTCATATATGAAAGAGGGCAGTTTGTGTCATATCAGGACCTGCCCACACACTCTTCTCACATCACAATAACACTCTCCCATTTTATTTTCACAACAACTCTGTCAGGTAGGGTAGACTGAAAGATAATGTATGGCCACAGCTCACCCAGAGATTCCAGGCTAAGGGGGGTGGGATTTGGGCCTAGTTTGACATACACCTTGGTGTGAAATCTTCTTATTATGGAAAACCCAGAAGGACAGGGAGAGGAAGGGCCAATCCTTCATATTTTCCCCTTAATGGCTTCTATGGAACAAGAGAATGAACCCTCAGATACTCTGGTTTTCCTTCCAAGTTGACTTCAGGAAGAAATGCAATTACACGCAAGTGCTAGATACATAATGTACAATGAAATACTAAATTCTGTTCCAACAGGTATTTTGACAGAGGTCTGGCTCGGAGAATTATTAAACCATTTCTTTTAAAAAAAAAGGTAGTTTCAAAAACAGAAGTAAAAACAGCTTATTATTAGTAGTATACCACACATAGATTCCCCCACCCCCACTGTATGATAAAAGTATATTACCTTTTCTAACCAATAGTGAGTGTTTCTGGCCAACAACGTGATAAAACACTGACAATGTCGCATTCAATCTTTCAATTATCACCCTGTTGCGTTTCCTTTCGTTATTGTAGCTTTTTCTTTTTCCGATCTGAGGTGTTCATTTCCCCCCCCCCCATCCCATTGCAATTTTAACACGTATCTGCCAACAGCACCGGGGGTTAAGCCCAGACCTAGAGGGAGAAAGAGAGAGAGAGAGAGAGAGAGAGAGAGAGAGAGAGAGAGAGAGAAAGTCAAATGATGATGAGCATCAAAAAAAGGTTATTTGCGGTTTTCTAAAACAACCTGCTTATGTGACCATGGGAACGGGAACGCTTCTCTTAGTGGATTCATATATCCACTTAAGGATGCTGTTGTTGGGAAAACTTTGGCCTTCCAGATATGGCTGAAATATAATTCCCATCAGCCCCAGCAAGCATGGCCAATGGCCAGCAATGATGGGAGTTGTAGTTTAGCATCACCCACAGGCCAAAGTTTCACAGCTGCCTCCAACACAGGAGAGTCTACCACCTCTCGTGGGAGTCTGGTTTTTATTATTATTAATTTAAATAGTGTATTTCTGGATCTATTATAAAACTTCCTGCAGTGTCTGCATCTAGAAGCTTCTTAGAAACTGGGTGTCTAGTGTTGCAAGCTCCAGCTCTCTGAAATTGATTACCAGCAACAATTGAGGCATGTGACTAATGTTCAGTGGCGTAGCGTGGGTTGTCAGCACCCGGGGCAAGGCAAGTAATTTGCGCCCCCTAACCCGTGGATTTGCGCCCCCTAACCTGTGGATTTGCCCTAACCCCAGATGTTGCGCCCGGTGCGGCCGGCCCCCCCTGCACCCCCCACGCTACGCCACTGCTAATGTTACAGTGTTTAGGTGCTTACCAAAGACATTTTTGTTTAAGAAGGATTTCCCAGAGATGTGACCAAGTTATTTATGGAACAATTATATAACTGAATAATTTTTTTAACTGATTTTCAAAACCTCTATTTCTCTTGTTATTCAACGACTTTATACTACAAAGGTGGCTATAAATGCATTTTATTTAATCATACTATTTCTGCATTAATCATAAGAGATGCTGATTTTGGGGGAAGAGGAAGGAAGCGGAAGAACGAAGAGCCCTTACTCTTAGAGTGTGATCCCAGGATCCTGAGCAGAAGGCTGTCCCGTCAGGCGAAACCCTCAAAGTGCTAACTCGATTCTCATGGCCAAACAGGATAGAAACACGAGCCCCTTTCAGAACATCCCACACGTTTATGGTGTAGTCATTGTAGCCAGCAAACAGTAAGCGGCCTGCAGGAGGAATTCGTAAAGAATGATGGCATTACATGAACAACAACATTTCCAGGGCTTATACAATGGCACCTCGGTTTTCGAACACCTCCATAGTCGAATGTTTCAGAACTTGAAAGCCAAAAATCTGGAAGTAAAAGCCTCGGTTTTTGAATGCGTCTCAGAAGTCGAAAAGGAAACGCAGCTTCCATTTTGAGTTTTCCGAATTGAGGCTTCCATTTTGAGGCTTCCACTTTCCGTTTTCGAACATTTCAGAACTCGAACGGACATCCGGAATGGATTACATTAGAAAACCAAGGTACTACTGTTCCCTGATTTTTAGCAAGTAATCTTTCCAAGGAAGGGCACAGACAATGGTCAAATCTGCACATCTTGGTCAGCCAGTGGTTCCCCAAGTTTTTCTTTATTTTCTGGACCACTTAATGATTTTTCTGCTTGTTGCACAGCAACTGAAATTCACTGTGCACCTGCATGTATTTTTTTAACAACAACAACAATTATTTTTTATACCCTGCCCTTCCTGGTTCAGAAAACCGGGCTCAGGGCAGCTAACAACAAATTTAAAACACTTAACTGATGCAACAAAAAACAGCATAAAATGCTATATAAAACGTGAATAACAATAAATTCAGAATTCAAAAATCAATTTAGGGGGGAAATCCATCCAATAAACATTAGATGATCACCAGGGCTAGCTGGCTAAATTAGTCCTATTTGGGCCAGCGAGGAGACCAGGGGAGAATTAGCTGTGGGATCCCAGAGCGCGTAATCGTCATAAAAAGGAGAGGGGAGGGGAGGAAGGAGAATAAAAGATCAGGCTAAGTTCAAATTGAAAGCCAGGCGGAATAGCTCTGTCTTATGGCTTCTTTTGTTTCTTATATATTGTATTTTATTGCAAGCCATAGAATTCAAATCGTAATACCATAAAATACAGCCTATGCAAAAAAAAAAAAAAAAAAAGAGCAATTAGCATACAACTGAAAGTCAATATGAACATTTAATGTAAAGGATGTGCCATCTTCTGCCTCCATCCACAAATCCACAGACATCCTGCAGACCAGCTGAATGATGTTCTACTAAGAGATCTCACTGCTAGGAAACAAACCATGAACCCCAGCTGAACCAGGATCATGGTTTTGTTTTGCTCCAGCAATCGATAAGCTCAGATCAAAACGTGGCTACAGAAAGCGGTTTGTTGGAACAAAAGGAACTACAAGCCCTGGTTTAGATACAATGCAAAACCAAGTATCATGGTTTGTTTTATGGGGAGGAACAAAGTGGGCACAAATTACTTGTGATTATGGCTAGTGAACCTAGTTTATGGCTTAATGTGGTGTGCAAGCAAGGATACGGGTGGTTAAAAAAATTACAACAATAACACAATTAAAAACAGGTTCAAAGGCAGCCACAAAACACACTGACCATCTACTATGCAATGGTCTGAGGACTTTTAACTGTCCCTGCTACAAATGAAGGTATTTCTTAAAAATGCAAGCTTCATCGAGATATCTGTTCAGGACATCTGAATGGTGTATCAACTTAGATATTTAAAATGAGATGGATGGTTGATGGTTAATGTACATTAATGTGAGCTGCTGTTTCCTTTTTCTTTTTCCTCTCCCCCATTTTTTTCTTTTTGTTGTTGATAACTTGCTATATATAAAAAGAGATTTTTAAAAAGAAAAAGAGGCAAAACAAAACCAGACTTCCATATGCAAACGACCGGGGACAGAAACTACTGTTCTCACATAAAGCAGGGACTAAAAATGGGTATCATATTGGGTGAGGAGGGGTGTAGATTTAGAAATATTTGAGGTCCAGTTGTATGCAAAATAGACTTGGTTTTAGTGACCCCCCCCCTTTTTTGAACTGTGGTAATTTTTATAAAGTAAGAGTACTGGTCAGGTGAGTTTACACTGAATAACGTGGGAAGTTTTTGTAATTGTTGTTTTTTAAAATATATATAGCATTTGATGAATTAATGAATTCAGGCTTTGTAATAGAAATTGTAATAACATTTTGTGTGTGTTAAAAAAAAAAAACAGTAACTAAAATTAAGAATTGAACACAGTTGCCAAGTCATGATTTCAAGGGTTACGGAGTCTTCCTTCCCCACCCATTTCTGAGGAAGGAAAGGGCTTAGCCGCTGGCCTTCGCCTCATCGACCTTCCTTTCAAACAATCACTGATGCGGACTAGGCAAAGGAACATCAAGGAAATGACAGTCTCACAACTCTGCAGACAGAATCCTCAACTTCAGGGGATGAGGGCAAGGGCTGTGAAGGAGAAGGGAAGGTGTGCAGGGCCTGAGTTTGAGAAGGCAGCACTGCCATCCTCTGACCTGGGAGAACTCGGCTGCAGATGACTTAGGAAGACCTGAGGCTCCTCTGCTCCACTGCAGAAGACTACTGGTACTTTAAAGCAGAGCAGCATCTTGTGGCACAGATAGTGCTGACCTTTAAAGTCCTAAACGGCCTCAGCCCAGTATACCTGAAGGAGCATCTCTGCCCCCATCATTCAGCCCAGACACTGAGGTCCAGCTCCAAGGGCCTTCTGGCGGTTCCCTCCCTGCGAGAAGTGAGGTTACAGGGAACCAGGCAGAGGGCCTTCTTGGTGGTGGTGCCCGCCCTGTGGAACGCCCTCCCACCAGATGTCCCTTCATATGACTTTTAAAAGTCAGATAGTTGTCTGACTTTTAGAAGACATCTGAAGGTAGCCCTGTTTAGGGAAATTTTTAATGTTTGATGTTTTATTGTGTTTTTAGTGTTCTGTTGGGACGCCCAGAGTGGCTGGGGAAACCCAGCCAGATGGGTGGGGTATAAATACAGAGGAACCTCAGGTTACAGACACTTCAGGTTACAGACGCTTTTGGTTACAGACTCCGCTAACCCAGAAATAGTACCTCGGGTTAAGAACTTTGCTTCAGGATGAGAACAGAAATCGGGCAGCAGTGGTGCGGCAGCAGCAGCAGTGGGAGGCCCCATTAGCTAAAGTGGTACCTCAGGTTAAGAACAGTTTCAGGTTAAGAACGGACCTCCGGACCGAATTAAGTTCTTAACCCGAGGTACCACTGTATCCTATTTTTCTGTCTATAAGCCTACCCCATGTATAAGACGCCCCTTATTTCTGGGGACTCAGATTTAAGAAAATGGGGGAGATGGCCCAGAGTATAAGAGCCCCCCCCTAATTTTTGACATTATTTTTAGGGGGGAAACCTAGTCCTATACACAGAAAAATATGGTAATAAATAATAAATAATTATTGTTGTTGTTATTACTGTTATAGTTGTTTTGTTATTGTTGTTGTTATTGTTATAGTTATTATTACTATTAGGCTGCACTTCTGCTACTCTGAGGGCTCCATTTCAGCTTGTTCCTTGCCGCAGCAACTTCAATCCCAGCCTGAACCCTACTTTGCCTTGCACCCATCCACCCTGAAACTTGTTCTGGCCTGCCTTGGGTTTACACCCTGGGCTGGGACCTGCTGCACAGCAGATGGGAGTCTCCTCCTTCACTAGCAAGACCCCAGATGTTGTCCACACGACAAGCATGCAAAACATTTCTGCGTCTTCCAAGAAAGGGAATGAGCTTTTGCATAAGAGAACAAGGAAGTGGAACGCAAATAGCAATGGGCTCCCAGGATGTTCTTCGAAAAAAGAGAGTATGCCTTGCTCATACAGCCACCAGCAGCAGATGGTGTGAAAATTTGCTGGCATGTGCAATTGCCCTTCATCACTCAAAGTGCATGTTGCGCAACTACACTTGTCGTGCTGTTAGAAAACAAGTAACAAGTTGCCTGCTGCACAATACTGTACATAGTTCTTCAAGGTTTGAGCTAATGTCGACATATTTAGAAAAGCCACACTAATTCCAGAAAGTGTCCTCATCGCAACAATATATTTTAATAAAATGATGCCCAACTAATTGGAGATACCCAAAGTGTTGCTGCTGTTTCTAGATCGAGCCTTTATAAAATCAACCAGTCCAACTGATTCAAATCAGTGAAATGTTGCAGCTCAAGCTATAACCAATTTTCCTCAGCCAAGAGGGATACAGCAGCTAAAGCAACACCTTCCCCAAAAGCATGCAGTGGAGTCAAAGAACTGTTTTCATGAAAGATGAGCTACCAGCCTTAGCCTCAAAACCAGGGGTCTGCAACCTTTAAGACAAAAAGAGCCACTTGGACCCGTTTCCAAAGAAAAAACAACAACTGGGAGCCGCAAAACCATTGCGACATTTAAAACAAATATACCTCCGGAGCCGCGATCTGACAGCGGGTGGGAAGTTGACGTCGGGACGGTGCGTGACTAACGCACGCACCGCCCCCATGCGATGTAACAGCCAGTACAGCGCCCGCCACAGTGAGGAGTGTCGGGGCGCACAATGCGCCTCCTCCCCTCGCTAGTATCCGCCCCGGAGCCGCGCAAAGATGTAAAAGAGCCACATGCGGCTCCGGAGCCGAGGGTTGTAGACCCCTGCTCAAAACCAAAGCTCAAGAGCAGCCACTTGTAGACTGCAGGGCCTGCAATGATTCAGCAGTTTTACAAGTTTCTTTCACCAGCTAAGGCAGGGGTCTGCAACCTTTAAGACAAAAAGAGCCACTTGGACCCGTTTCCGAAGGAAAAAAAAACTGGGAGCCGCAAAACTCATCATTATAAAAATAACTTTTTTGTCACTTTTTTATTATTTCTTTGTTTGACCCCTCAGAATTACTCCTCCTCATAGAAATAAACGTTAAATTAACAAGTTACCTTTTTTTGTGTGTGTTCTTCACTCCCCTTCGAAACAGTGACCAGCGTACATGCCCCTTACAAGGTAGCGGGCGGGCGGGAAGGTGACGTCGGGACGGTGCGTGACTAACGCACGCACTGCCCCCATGCAACGTCACAGCCAGTACAGCGCCCGCCACAGCAGGGAGTGTCGGGGCGCACAATGCGCCTCCTCCCCTCACTAGTATCTGCCCCGGAGCCGCGGCAAAGGCGTAAAAGAGCCACATGCGGCTCCGGAGCCGCGGGTTGCAGACCCCTGAGCTAAGGGAACTTCCTAACAACCTGTTCATTGAGCATCCTTCCTGATATATTTGCAGGGAGATTAGGCAACACTGGCTGTTCCAGGAGCACCCATCCTGATTTGTCTGCAGATGCATCAAATCAAGTGTTATGTCAGACTTTCTACTTTCCTTATTGCAATAAATTTGATCTTTTGGGGAAGTGGGTTTGCTGTGCAAGAGCTGCCAACTAACTATAATTGAGCAACCTGAATTTGCCAGTATGTGAATTAATCCCACCCACAGAGTAGCCACAGTCTGTAAGTGCCCTCGGTTCTGTAGCTGTGACAACAATCGAAGCCACATTGAAAAGAGATTATAGTACAGCTCTTCCCGCCTGCCCCCCAAAGAAAAGTGTGTCAGAATTCATGTCTCACCACTAAGGGAAAAGTCCACACTGGATGCCCCAAAGATGATGCTCTCTTTGGAATAAATGGCCACTTCTCTGTCTGCCCGCAGGTCATATAAACGACACTGGAAAGAAAGGAGAAACAGTATCTGTGCTCAGGCAAAGGCTAATATGCACAAGCTGATTTTTGATAAGATTGATAGATACCAGCAGGACAAAACTCTCTCTCCCGTCCCACCCACGAAGGCAAACTTGGACCAGTAGCTGGTCCAGCCCACCTGTCAATCACCTGACATCATTACAGCAGATGTCCAACCTGTTTAAGCCTGTGGGCATTGGGGGAAGACACAATATCTGGCCTGCCATGATGTTAAGACAAGTCACTGTTGCTTTGGGATGCTGGGGAAGACAAAAGTTTAGCTCTCTGCTCAGCCAGAAAACGCACTGGGTGGTCTTGGGCAGATTTCTCTCTGCTCAGCTACATCCCAGGGCTGCAGTGAGGTTCAAATGAGATGCGGATGTATTTGTAGCCGCCTACTGAGCCTTTAGAATAGGCCTTGGCGGAAATCTAAATCGGCTGCAAAGCAATGCCAAGTCCCCCCCCCGCCCCCCTCCATTCTTCTAACCCTCCCATGCGCGCTTCTGAGCATTAAGAACCACTTTTCTGCCACAGTGCAGACCCTTTCACGCTTGCCAGGCTGCTGAGTGAGTGCATTATGCCTCTGATGAGCCGTGCTGTGCTATGCTATACGACATATAGCTATGCTATACAACATGCATTCATATCTTCACATGGCATAATATAATAAAATAATATTGATTGATTGATTGATTGCTAGCCCGCCCATCTGGCTGAGTTTTCCCAGCCACTCTGGGCGGCTCCCAATCAAGTGCTACAAAAACAGCACAGCATTAAATATTAAAAACTTCCCTGAACAGGGCTGCCTTCAGATGTCTTTTAAAGATAGGATAGCTGCTTATTTCCTTCACATCTGAAGGGAGGGTGTTCCACAAGGTGGGTGCCACTACTGAGAAGGCCCTCTGCCTGGTTCCCTGTAACCTCACTTCTCGCAATGAGGGAACTGCCAGAAGGCCTTCGGTGCTGGATCTCAGTGTCCGGGCCGAACGATGGGGGTGGCATAAGAAACCTGTCTTGCGTAGACCTGCATTATACCCATTCTGTAGACCTGTGATTAGCTATGCATCCATATGACACAATAAACACTCTGGGGAAAGCCTCCAGGTTAAAGGTTTTGCGGTTGTTTTGAACCTTGCCAAACCAAAATATTCTAAGTGCCGTTAAAATAATTCACTGTGGAAGAGGCCCTTGGCGTCCAACAACATATCTTCGGGTGACCCAGTTTTAACCTCTTTATGCCTGCAATCACAATGGTCACTTATCCCTAAGGGAAAAAGCCAATGGGTTCAATTATGTATCAGCCTTGCCCCTGCAGCTAGTTCAGATTGCCACACCTACAGATGGGCACCTTATTGTTCCATCATACGCTTCCTAGACACCAGATCCTCCTTGCAGGGTACAAAGAGCACATTTGTACATTTTTAAAGGGCTGCAACTCCTCTGGAGACCACCAAGTATTAGGTGAGTAAAGAATGTACAAAATAAACAAGCCATAATAAAATACTGAATGGCCAGGGTGATTTGAGGATCATCCCCCCAGCCCTCATTTGGGAAACGGCCAGGCTTTTGAAGATGAAATAGGGCAACGTACTGTGGCGTCATCTGAGCCAGAGGCAAAGGCATCTCCACTTGGGTAGTACCTAGGCAGAGAACAGAAAGTGTGTTGCATTAGAAATACAGGAATTAAAGATAATATTTCCCCAACTTTTATTTGTTTTCTATATGCTGCGTACAGGAACGTTACAGGTATCCAGTAGCAGGTAAGTTAAACAAGGAACACATAGAGGTAAATGAGGTAGCAGTGGTAATCCAATATCTAAAAGCAGAAATTAGTAACACCAAAATTTGCCCACTCACCCCCTCCCCTAGAGTTCACCTGAATAGGTTGGGGTTGCGGTGGAACTGCCACAGTTAAAAGGATCAAGACTTGAGAATTAGAACACTGAATGATCACTTTCTGTGGTTATCTTACAGGGAAAAGTGGATCATGGCCCCAAAATTTATGAAATGCAGCTCTGACAGATTTCACTGCCCACCTGGCACATGGAATTGTAGATGGTCTGAAAGCAGGTGGCAGGTCAGCTCAGACACCTGTAACACCCACCCACCCACCCCAATGCCAACAGCTTTCATTTCTGCATAATGAATAAAGTTTCAAACTGTTGCTTCTAATTTTGGTAAAGAGAAACAGCCAATGTTGACAGCAAGCTCTGGCTCTTCACATAAGCAAAACCAGAATTTCTGAGCCAGAACCCACAGTCTTTTCAAGCAAAGAAAAATGTAACACCTCATTTTCTCCCCCAAAGACACATACCAGAAAGCATACATTAATTAGTAATTTAGTATTGATAACATGTCTATATAATTCCTCTCCAGGTTGTTTTTTTAAATAGCAATTGTTGGTATTTATCAATTTACATTATCTGTTGCAAAATTATTTCACTTGGATGATACAGTGCAAGTTCAATCAAAATGATTGCAAATCACTGCATTAATTGTAATCTAGCCTGTAAATGAAAAAGAGAGGCAATAGAAAATAAAAAGAGAAAATAGATAAATGCACTGTACCTTACTTTTACAAAACACTATAAAAAGGGAAATTGCTAATATCAATATAGGGTTTTCTTTACAGAAAATCCTCTGCTCATATGATAGTGGATCTGGTAAGCCATGATAATTTTATAAGTGATTAAGGTAAAGGTAAAGGTACCCCTGCCCGTACGGGCCAGTCTTGACAGACTCTAGGGTTGTGCGCCCATCTCACTCAAGAGGCCGGGGGCCAGCGCTGTCCGGAGACCCTTCCGGGTCACGTGGCCAGCGTGACATCGCTGCTCTGGCGAGCCAGCACAGCACACAGGAAACGCCGTTTACCTTCCCGCCAGTAAGCGGTCCCTATTTATCTACTTGCACCCGGGGGTGCTTTCGAACTGCTAGGTTGGCAGGCGTTATAAGTGATTAGTACTGCTATAAACCATAATCATGACAAGCTTGCTATTAAAATATCGTCAATGTCATGATGCAATGTGATGATGCACTAATTCTGTATTTCCTGCCTCAGCCCCTGGAGAGCAACTGCCTGTCTGGTCCTGACTCTGTGTAAGGCAGCTTCCCATGTTCCACTTTACATTAATTCCTGCTGCATACCGGGTAAATAAAACAACTCTGTGTGGCTCATAAGAAAACATTTTGAGGAGACAGCCGGACTGGAAAACAAGTACATTTAAAGCGAAGTCTATGACTTCAAAAGTACAGAGGTGCAAACTAGGGAATGCTGAGAAAGAGTTTTAATCTGCCATGTAATTAATTTATTGCCAAAGCCTGCAAAATGCAACAATCCTTCAATCAAAAGCCAGTTCTCTTTTAATTTTCTCTTGGTCATGCAGGATTGTGACAAAGGGATAGGAACGGCTCTGCCCACGAGGTCACTGTAGCGGGGGCCTTCCACCCACCAGGCTACCCCTGCTATTGGCAAGCAAAGGTTTGTTCCACAGGGCCAGTGCTGTTCCTTCATTGGCTAGAGATATTGGTAGCTTTGATAGGCGGAGAGGAAAACTGACCCTCCCACTTTCCCCCTTGTACATTATCCTCACAGGTATTTTGCTAGTCAGCACTAATGAACCATTTCTCGATGCCATCACATGAATGTGTGGTAACAGTGCCTACTGACCTGACGCTATTGATATCCGATTCATGGGTTTCAAATGACTGGATGCATTGGCCAGTCCTCATGTCCCAAACCATGGCTTTTTTATCACACCCCTAAAAAACAAAAGTCAATAAAGATTCAGTTATATCCTCAATAAGAATCAACACAGATCGAGTGCCTTATGGAACCAATGGTGGTTTTTATGATGCTGTTTACTGTTTAATCATCAGGTTTATTTTGAAGGTCTGTTGTGATGTATAGCTTTATTAGCAAGTTGTCTTCAGTCTCAATTTCATCACAGAAAGGTGAAAAATGAAATACGGCCCCCCCCCATATACCGAGCCTAAGGCAAACTGCGGAAATATCAATGGTTCTCTGCACAGGGATTTAATTTTAAAAAATTAATGACTGAACTCACAGGTGGAGAATACTTTTATTTTCATGTATCTTTATTATTTGTAAAAGGAAACTTTGTATGAGTCAATACTTTATTGTCCCTTTGAAGCTGCGCTGTATCTTTGTCCTTTTGTCCTTTGTCCCTTTATGATTTGCATTTTTTATTCTTTGTTTTCTCTCATTTTGTTATGCTTGCATTTTTTTTAAAAAAAACAACAACACCAAATCAATAAATATATTTTTAAACAGCGGGGATGGTTCTGTGAAGAGTTTTCCTACTTCTGCAATTTTTGCCACTAGAATATGAAGATCAATATGGCGCTGGCTTCCTTCCACATTCCAAGGGCATTCCAGAAAGTGCTGAGCTGCTTTCAGACCAGTTTTATGCCAAATATCAAATTATTTCAACAAGGATGAACTGCTGTGCGACACCCCTCGCTAAGAGGGGTGAGATTAACCACAGGCCTTTTTCACCACCCCAGATGATCTCTGCTATTTTTCTAAATCACTGGTGGAAAACCCGTCCCACGGGCCTCAGAGTTTGACTTGCCAACAATCAGCAAGCCTTCCACAGCAATGGAGCATGCTCAGAACACACTGGGCGGTTCTTGAAGTTTTATTCCCCCCTCTGCTTACCCCACTGAGAACTGTTTGTACTTCTGCAAACCTCAGGGTTCATTCGAGCCTGATGATATTTCCATGTTGTGCCTGGGTGGTACTGTTTTGGGTACATAAGTATACACACTTGCCGTTGATCTTTGGCAAGAGAAGAAACACTGGAGGTTTCCTCTGGAAGAATCACGCAGAGGGTAATTTTCTTCTGGAGGAAGCTGGGACAAGAAGATGCCACCATCACTGCCTCTGCCCCCGCCCAATCCACTAACCTCAGTTTTTTAATTGAGTGCCATTAATATGCTGGCATCTTTCCTTTTCAGTTACTACAAAAGAGGTGCAGAGATTATCTGGGTGCAGAGATGGACTGGGTTTGTGCTAACCAAAGGCTTAATCCAGACAAACCGATTCGGGGGGAACATATAACCTGCTCTGAATTTCTGCATTTGCTCAGCTTTGTCTGGGGCTTGAGTTGTGCCATCCTGAAGAAGGTGGAACTAGCCAAAAGTTATATGGATCCTGTTCAGCTGCAGATTAAAGGTAAAGGTACCCCTGCCCGTACGGGCCAGTCGTGTCCGACTCTAGGGTTGTACGCTCATCTCACTTAAGAAGCCGGGAGCCAGCGCTGTCCGCAGACACTTCTGGGTCACGTGGCCAGCGTGATGAAGCTGCTCTGGCGAGCCAGCACCAGCGTCGCACACGGAAACGCCGTTTACCTTCCCGCTATAAAGCGGTACCTATTTATCTACTTGAACTTAGGGGTGCTTTCGAACTGCTAGGTGGGCAGGAGCTGGGACCGAAAGACGGGAGCTCACCCCGCTGCAGGGATTCGAACCGCGACCATGCGATCGGCAAGTTCTAGGCACTGAGGTTTTACCCATAGCGCCACCCGCGTCCCTGTTCAGCTGCAGATTAGTCTACTGCAATGCATTCTGTGTGGGGCTGCTATTGGAGAGCATTCCGAAACTGAAGTTGATGCAAAATGCAGCAGACCTAATGCTTTGGGCTATCTTCTTTTTGGATCATATTATGCCAAGCCTGTCCCATCTGCACTCGCTTCCCATTTGTTTTGGGGCCCAATTCAAGAAGAATTGGGTCTTGAAGAGTCTTCAGTCGCTTGGGACTAGGATGTCTGAAGAACCGCCCATCAACCGCACCCATCCTTGGAAGCCCTGCTGGGTTGCCAAGGGAGCTGCAGCTGGGGGGTCACATGACACACCCCAGTGGTTGAAATTTGGGGTTTGACTGGCTCCTTCCATTGACAGGTTTTTGGTGGGCAGTCAAAAGGTTCTCCATTTCACCAGTCTTTTCCTGGGTTTTTGCTCTATGTTGACGTTGCTGACAGTGTCAGTTTCGAGGTTCTAATTCTGTGTGTTGTTAAGAGTGGTTTTACTGTTCTTAAATTTTGGTTGTATCAGGATTGTGTTTTCCTTGTGTGCCTTTATGGGGGCTGAAAAGTAGTAGATAAAAGTTTCTATAAAAGAAGTAACATTTGATTGCGAGAAGAAGCAGACACAGCTCCTAGGATTAACGAGCAACACAGCCCTGCTTTCACTAAGCCATGAGAAGGGCTATATTCTCCTGAATCTCATTCTGCATTAGTGCAGCTGGGGAGACAACAGCAACAGCTTTAATCGGGAGAAAGGGCACTTAGCAAAATATTACAAAATACTCTCTTCCACTTGGAGAGATTTTCGTTTGCTTCATGTCTCCCCCTGCAATTCCCTCCCTCCATCCTGCATAAAGATGAATCTGCTTTTACCCCCGACACAAACGTGTTCCCTGTCTCTGAAGGAGCAAGGTCCAGGCACAAGACATCCGCTCCGTGGCCGTGAAAACTCTGCAGAAGCTGCCCGCTTTCAACGTCCCAGAGAGCACACGTGCCGTCTCCACTAGCAGTCAAGATCTTTAGGAGAGAAGGGGGAAACAAAAGAAAACAACTATTATTAAAAAGAAAGAAAGACACGATTTGTCAAAGATTTGCCTCCACTGATTCATGTTAAAGTTGCATTCTTTGTTTCACGTTTAAAGCACGGGTACATCTGAGTCATTTCCCTTTCTATTCTCATTCATTTGACTCACAGTTTCACGCTAAAGCAGCAGTTTGTGTTAAAAGTCTGGTCTTCAGCTGGTGGGGTGGGAGCCACCAGTAGGGGGCGCCATGACTAAGGAGGTTGGCACCATTGGCACCACAACAATTTCCCTCTTTTTGTTTTTAAAAAGGTAAAGGTAAAGGACCCCTGATAGTTAAGTCCAGTCGTGAATGACTCTGGGGTTGCGGCACTCATCTTGCTTTACTGGCCGAAGGAGCCGACGTTTGTTCGCAGACAGTTTTTCCAGGTCATGTGTCCAGCATGACTAAGCTGCTTCTGGAGAAACCAGAGCAGCGCACGGAAATGCCGTTTACCTTCCCGCCGGAGCGGTACCTATTCATCTACTTGCACGTCGACGTGCTTTCAAACTGCTAGGTTGGCAGGAGCAGGGACCGAGCAACAGAAGCTCATGCCGTCGTGGGGATTCGAACTGCCGACCTTCCGATCGGCAAGCCCAAGACTCAGTGGTTTAGACCACAGCGCCACCCGTGTCCCTTAGTTTTTTTAACTCCCTTAGTTTAAAAGGTACCTTAGTTTTAAAGGTAGTTGTTGTTTTTTAATGATCTTTGTTTCTTTTCTTTTTTAAATAGCATGGAAAATTTATACGAAGAGTATTTAACAGCTATAGCATGCCACAGCTTTGAAAAACACTGGATTGGTTGCCCAGCCATTCCTTTAGGAAACAGGCCTAGGCTCACCTCCTAACAACTGATAGATGGTAACTTCAAACCTAACTTAGATTGAACTTTCTCTTGTTAGTGGATGCTACCAAGGGGGTTGGGGGGAATTGTCACCTGATATCAGGCCCTTGACAAGTGGGCATGGTGTTGGGGAACCCAAATCAATTCCTCCAACTCTGCTTCACAGAATGCAAACCTGCTCCAAATAATTTACAATCTAAGAACATGAGAGATGCGGAGAAAAGTGGTACGAGAAGGAAAGAATATGAGATTGCTCTAATTTCACACATGGGAAACGTCTGTGTGATTCTGGAACGCCTGGTATTCTTTCAAGGCGAAATAGGAATTTCTGGTATTCACACTTTTAATAATAAAATATTTTGTGGCTTTAAAAGGCGATGCTGAGGTTATCAGCTGAATATTTACTCTCTTTTGTTTTCAAAACGTTTGCTTCCAAATAACTCATTACTATGGAAATGTCCAGTATGGCACTCAGATAAAAATATTTATTTGGCTGACTACTATCTCCCCATTTTAACCAGCAAAGGGTGGGGGGAGAGAAACGATGAGGGCTACAGATTTAGTGAACATCTATTTTGCCTTTCAGTTTTATAATCCCTGCATTGTCAGCAGCTCAGCAAAACTCAAGATCGTTAGACTGGGTCCGTAATTGCCCCCTTGTGGTTGCATTTTAAAACCGTTTCTCTCATAAAAAAGGGCCTGATGTCATGTCTCTGCTCCTTGAACAGCCTTGTAAACAGGCAGCCCTAAAACACTGGGATGGTTTTGGGGCTGAAATGAAAATATTTTCCCTCTGCCTGGGCAATCAACATACAGAGGTACCTCGGGTTAAGAACTTAATTTGTTCTGGAGGTCCGTTTTTAACCTGAAACTGTTCTTAACCTGAGGTACCACTTTAGCTAACGGGGCCTCCTGCTGCCACTGCGCCGCCGCCATGCAATTTCTGTTCTCATCCTGAAGCAAAGTTCTTAACCCGAGGTACTATTTCTGGGTTAATGGAATCTGTAGCCTGAAGCGCCTGTAACCCGAGGTACCACTGTATTGGCAGGATACTGAAAGAGACACTGCGTAACAAACAAGTCAAACAGGAATACCTGGGAAAGATGGTTTGATTCCTCTTGATTTCAGTTGCAATAAAGGGTCCGTTCTATAAGCCACAGCACAGGCAATGAATCATGTTCCACAGCATGCCCTAAACCAATGTCTCCTAAACTCCCCCCTCCATAAACCCTTTGTAAATTGCTGAGGGTCTTGGCAGACAATGATCTTCTGCCGGTTGTACAAATCGTAATACACACTGCTAGATACTACATGTTTTTTAATTGCATTTTGATGGCAGCTTTCCTTTCTTATCTATTCTATTTTATTTTGATTTCCATCGAGTTTAATGCAACACAGTGCAATACATAAGAAACTGAAGCGTTTACATAAGAAACTGCCACCGTTATATATACTGGCAGTTATTAATTGGTTGCCACCCTGTGAGGGTACAGGATACAGATTTATTAAATAAAGTAAATAAATCTCTCTTCCATTTTATAACGGGTGTCTGCCTAAATATGGATTCCCACTCCGCCAGCGAGCAATATATAAGAATATGTGAGGTGCTATTTTAGTGTTTTTCGCGGCAAAATGAAGAACAGGCTTATGTCTTTCTCTTCAACAGCTGTTTAAGCTCCAGCTGCTGCTATTCTGGGATGTAAGAAGCTCCGGGTAAGCTATTATTTCCCATTCTGAGGCTTCCAGTAATAAACTTGTGATGATGAGGAGTGTCTGTTGCCACAGAAACTGGAGTCAAAGATCCACCTGTGGTGCTTAAATTGTAGCCTTAAAAGGCAGGTGTCTGGTGTAATCACAGTCAACGCAGAGCCCAAATTAGACATAGATGTAGACTTGGGGTGCTGTTTTCCCTGCTTATACCTGTGTGACACTAGAGCCTGCAACTTTTGGGTATGATGGGGACAGAACTCTCCAAACTATATAGAAATTTATTCATGTATGCCACTACAGCAGCAGGAATGTTACTCGCCCAAAAATGGAAAGTCGTCGCCTCAGCAAAAGAAGAATGGATACGAAAACTTATGGAAAATGCAGAAATGGCCAAACTTACCGGAAAAGCAAGAAATCCAGATAATAAACTTTTTATGAAAGAATGGAAATGGTTTATGGAACATTTACAAATAAACTGTAAACAGATAAGAGAATTGGCAGGATGATTGTAATAACCTGCAGTTTTATAAGAATATATATTTAAAGCAGATGAATAAATGAGCAAATTAAGTTAATTTGGATATGCAGAAAATATTTAAAAGTAAATTTAAGGAACTGCAGAAAGAGGGGGAAGGAAGTCAAGTTTTGAAATGTTAAAATGATTATAAAATTATTTAAATGTATAAAATTGAAAATCATAAATAAAATTTTAAAAAATAAAATACAGCCTGCAACTTGAATTTTTTATGGCAATGCGAAACCTAAGGGCATACGCAAAGGGTCAGGAAAAGTTGTAGTGAAAAACTAGCAGAAACAAAACAAAACAAAACACAGAGCTGCGATTAAAGTTTCCAAATGGGAAAGTGTGCCTTGCAATTGGCGAGAGGGGAGCCAGGGTTAAAAGGAAGTGGACCCGCCCCCCCGTCAGGAAAAGGGAAATTGGTTCAGAAGGGCAACACTAACTCGTATAAGTGGCCTCTATGTTTCACTGTCTCTCTCAGAATGTCCCCAGAATGGCCATTGTTCTGATGGGAGCTTTGAATTAATGCAGTGGTTTTCAACCAGTGTGCCATGGCACCCTGGGGTGCCTTGAATGATGGTCAGGGGTGCCGCGGGCAACACTGGCCTCTGTCCCTCTTTCCTTCCTTCCCTCTTCTGATGCCCTCTCACGTTTCTGCCTCCCAAAGGCTTGCGCAGCTGTATATTGCAGCAGCCCCAGCTATAAGCTCCGAAGGTTAATGAATGGTGTCTCTGGAAGGCCCCCCCCCTCTTTGGGGCAAGGAGTGGCAGCTCAGAGACCAAGGACGGCAGCCCGAAGGACTCTCAAGGAGAGGGGAGAGGGGAGGAGGCTGAGGGAACACTCCACCAGGGAGGGTGTTCGAAAAAATGTGAGGGGCTGATGTATGGAAGTGAGAGCTGGACCATAAAGGAGGCTGATCGCCAAAGAATTGATGCTTTTGAATGATGGTGCTGGAGGAGACTCTTGAGAGTCCCATGGACTGCAAGAAGATCAAACCTATCCATTCTGAAGGAAATCAGCCCTGAGTGCTCACTGGAAGGACAGATCCAGAAGCTGAGGCTCCAATACTATGGCCACCTCATGAGAAGAGAAGACTCCCTGGAAAAGACCCTGATGTTGGGAAAGATGGAGGGCACAAGGAGAAGGGGACGACAGAGGACGAGATGGTTGGACAGGGTTCTTGAAGCTACCAGCATGAGTTTGAGCAAACTGCAGGAGGCAGTGGAAGACAGGAGTGCCTGGCGTGCTCTGGTCCAGGGGGTCACGAAGAGTCGGACACGACTAAACAAGAACAAGCCAGCTCTGCAGGTAAGGGGTGACGTAACTGGGCTCCTGAGCCCCACAGGGGTGCCTCAGAAAGAATGGAGTTGGTCAAGGGAGACATGGACTCAAAAAGGTTGAAAACCTCTGGATTATTATTTTATTTTATTTTTTAAATCCTTGAGAAGGTTCTGCCACCACAAGCTCTATCGTTTTGTGGCTATGACGCTGAAGCTCCTTTTTTCTTTTTACAAATCGATTTTTTCCCTGTTTTAAAATCTGGATTTTCTCTTTGAGATTAGTTAGTGGGGGGGGGGGGAGAATAGCAAGCAGCTTCCTAGGACGTTATCAACCATTTAGGCTTCAACCTTCCCAAAGCCAGGACCTGCCTTCAACCCACACCTACATTTGAGAATCTCTTTTTTAACCATGCAATTGCTAAAGGCAGCATGGGAGGGCAGTGGTCTTGGTTAGGAAGGAAAGGATTAAATCCCCACTTATTGCACTGTGGTTCCAGTCCACTTTGAGGGACCTGGAGCAGGGCTTTTGTGGAATTCCCTCCTTTTGGATACCCCCCAAGCTTCTACAGAAGGGGTTCCCAAACTGTGGTCCATGGACCTCCAGCAGTCTGCAGGTGTCATTCAGGTGATCCCAGAACCGGTCCAAGACATCTTGGCACCTGAGGCAGACCCCAAAATAGCACACACACACCCCTGTCAGGGAAGAAAGGGTAAGGGGAGATCGACATTAGGAACAAACATGGAAGGTGAAGAAAGACTGACATTGTCAGTCCCCCATGGATACTGCCACCTGAGGCAGTCACCTTGCCTCATAGATGGGCCGGCCCTGAGGTGATCTGTGTTTTATTATGTCTCATAAAGTTAACAGGATGACAGAATTAATAAATTTAATCTTGGTAATATTGCTTTTAATGATGGCAATGAAAGAACAAATGCCTCTTACTTTTGTGTTATTTTTTAATGCGTTATTAAGCCTTGAATGGGGCAGAGAGAAAGAGCAGTGAAGTTTAAAAACACAAGAGGCACATCCATCCCCTTAACTATTAACTATTAAAATTGCATTTTTATTTATATGTTTATTTCTTATATCGTATTTTATTGTGCTACAATCTGAATTTTGTGCAAATTCAAATTGTAATACATTATATCAACAAAAGAAGCAATCAAAATACAATTAAAAAGCGCATCACACCCAGCACAGTGCATTACAATTCATACAACAGGCAGAAAAACAATTAAGTAGTCCACCAGCAATTTTCAAGGGCAGGGGGCATTTGGGAACCCCTGCTCTACCCTGCAATCTTTAGTCGCTTGCTTAAAACTTCTTGATTCATGAAGCCTTTCCCTGTAGTGTGATTCAGCAGCATTGTGCCTAAGATGCTTTACTGTGCTTTTGTAGTTCATTTTGAAATCTTACAAGTCTGCTCCACCCTGGTATTTTGTATGCTGAGCTGTCTCAAAATTCTTACAAATGAATAAATAATGTAATGTTTGCTAGATCCAAGGCCAACAGAGGAGACAGTCAATGTTGTGCTCTGCCGATGTGGGAGACTATAATTCCCATCGCCTGTGACCACTGGTCATGCTGCTGGTCTGTCTTCTTCAACACGAACTATTTCAGACTCTCACGGACCCCCTTCTTCCTCTTTCTTCGTATGCAAGGGAAACAGATAAGATCGAAAGCTTCCACTTTGGGTTTTTTAATAAACCGCAGTTTCCTGTCAAGCGTAAGATCAGCAAACTGGAATTTATTCTAACTCTGCAGGTTCAGATCATGGTTCTGTCAACTAACCAGTTCCTTTATTTGGAAATCACATGGCGAGGAGGGAGAGGAAGTCAATACATTGTGTTTACAAGAGTGAAGGCAAGGAGGATGCAACACGGCTCCCCGGGAGCAAAATAAAACCTTGCACCATCTCTCATGCACAGGTAAAGGTAAAGGAACCCCTGACCATTAGGTCCAGTCGTGACCGACTCTGGGGTTGTGGCGTTTATCTCGCTTTATTGGCCGAGGGAGCCGGAGTACAGCTTCCGGGTCATGTGGCCAGCATGACTAAGCCGCTTCTGGCGAACCAGAGCAGCGCACGGAAACGCTGTTTACCTTCCCGCCGGAGCGGTACCTATTTATCTACTTGCACTTTGACGTGCTTACGAACTGCTAGGTTGGCAGGAGCAGGGACCGAGCAACGGGAGCTCACTCCGTCGCTGGGGATTCGAACCAGTGACCTTCTGACCAGCAAGCCCTAGGCTCTGTGGTTTAACCCACAGCGCCACCCGCGTCCCACATGCACAGGTACGTCACTATAAATCTGCACTCAGCTCTCTACAACCAGCTTTTGCAAAGCTAAGCAGGGTCCAGTATGGTTTCCAATTGGATGAGGGACTGCAGGTTGAGTTTCCTGCATTGCACGGGGTTAGACTAGATGGCCCTTGGGGTCCCTTTTAACTCGACAACTATCATTCCAACACTGGAGTGTACTTGCCTGCATATCCGAATTTGTGAAGCTGCAAGCTGACAGGTAATTGGTGTGCATGGCAACCGATTTCTTCTTGGCCGCCATATTCTCATTTTTTTCAAATGTCAGTGGATACACAGAGCACTTGTTGTCCAAACCCCTAGAGTTTTTTTAAAAAAATGGTAAGAGAAAAAGATATCACTTAAGCATGGGTTGCATGAGCACTGACTGTTGGCAAGTTTTGCTTTCGGCTGTCCAGTTTCCGTTTTGCTGTGGGTTTGCCTGGGGAACTCAGACCCACAGGGAAAGGCCCTGTTCCCATTCACTGGCTACTGCCTAAGGAGGCAGTGGAGCTGGGAAAAAGGAATAATGAGGACATGTGGCCTAAAGCAAGGCTTGAGGAGGTGGAAAGGAAGTCTGAGGTGAAGAAAAATCCACTCCCTACGAGATGACTAGGAGCATTTTTTTACCCTATTTGTCCGATACACTATCTGGAAGGTCACATATTCCCCACCCTTGCCTTTGGGAGTGACTTCATCCCCCTCGCCACAGACATATATCTTCAGGTGATAGTTCTAACTGAAGTGAGTCTGCAAGAAACAGAGCTCTCGCTCTGCAGTGGCACCTGTCCCTGTGGGGTTCCGTTCCTACCCTAGACATACCTGCCAGTTCCACTCCTTTAGGAGAACTTAAGGAGTCAGTAAAACCATGATCTCCCCAGACTTACTGTGATCTGTGGATTTCTCTCACTACCAAAAGAATTTCTCTCACTACCAAGAATTTTTGAATTCTTGCCTCTTCTTCTTTTTGTAATTTCTAAAACATTTTCTAACTGTGGCTTTCTAGTGAGACTGCTTTTATATGTTTTTTTATCAAAAGCTGCTTTTTTGGACACACGTGGGAAAGGTTTGGTTGTGTGTTATTTGTCTGTTTGCTTGCATTTGGGCACCTCTGAAGATATAGTAAACTAATTTTTCATCGTGTTTCCCAAGCTCAAGGAGCAGATTTTCATCTATCTTTGGATATGACTAGAAGCCATTTTGAATCGAGATGCTAGACTGAACCTTTTGAAACTGCCGTGAATTTTTTTGGCCTCTTAGAATTTCCTAGGAGCGCTGGGTACAAACCACTAACAAGCACATAAAAGTCGGTCAATTATATTGTGAAGATCTCCCTGCACTTCCGTAGCAGGTTTGCTTTTCCCTGGTCTAAGGCAGGAATTCAGTTATTTTATTTACCTATTAAGGCAATCTATTATTTATTTATGAAAACAATTCTCTCCAGCCTTATCTTCCAAAGAATCACAAAGCAGCTAACAACACACACACACTAAACACAATAAAACAAATCCAGCAGTCATCAAAATATACACAACCTAAGTCAGCATCAAAGTTATTGAGTTGGCCAAAAGCTTTACTAAAAAAAGCCCATGCCGTCATAAGGTGCTTTAAGGAATAATGGAGAGAAGGAAACAGCTCCCTTGGCTCAGTGCAACAATGAAAAAATGGCTTTAATCAAGAGGTTCCCACTTACCCACAAGCGATGGCACACCCTGAAGGCGCGTAAGCGCATGCCATCACCCAGGTGCAAGGCATCGTCACCGCATGTTCCTGAAACACAAATCATCTCTTACATCTTAAGGGTCAATTTGCAAATCCTTTTTATATCACTAAATGACAGTAAAGCAGGATTCTCTTATGCAGTCATACCTCGGGATAAATATGCTTCAGGATAAGTATTTTTGGGTTGCGTTCCACGGCGACCCGGAAGTAACGGAGCACATTACTTCCGGGTTTTGCCGCTCGCGCATGCGCAGACGGTCAAAAGATGTCACGCGCATGCGCGCAAGCAGCGAAACGCAACCCACGAATGCGCAGGCATGTCTTATGTTCTATTCAGGATGCGAACGGGGCTCCGGAACGGATCCCGTTCACATCCTGAGGTACCACTGTACTGAATTTAAAAGATGGGAAGTGACAACAAGTGTGTGATGTTTGTAACACGAGAGAAACTTATCAACAACAGGCCTTGTTCTATCAGACCTTTGGACCCTCAAACACAGGCATGTCCAACTCCAAAGAGATCTACTCACATTATAAAAATACTGGCTGTGATCTACCCATTGTTATTGACAGGCATTGAGCTTTTTTTAGGGTAGGCAAAGCTTCCTTTTTTGGTGGGGGTCACTAGGCATCTTGTGATCCACCGTGATCTACCACAGACATCTGGGGATCTACCGGTAGATCACTATCTACCTGTTGGACATGCCTGCACTAGCAGAATGGGAATGTTTGTCCCACACTTGGCTCAGCTTCACATTGAAATGAACCAACTTATTTTTTAAAGAAATACCCCCAAACTGGTTGGCTACCACCAAGGCCAACCAGAATTTGCAGGTCTTCAACATGGAATGGAAGACAAAGGGACAAAGACCCTTCTATACTGCCCTCCCACATTCATCTAATGCATCCCTTCTTTAGGCCTTGAGGGAAATCAGAAACGCAAGGAACTTACCTTATTGGTAGTGAAGGCATCCCAAACAATCACCTTCCCATCCTATGAAAAGCAAAGAGGGATTATAAATTTCTCAAACAAGGAGATGTATATTTTGAAGTCTTACTGCAGTTCTCTCTGTTCATGCTCTTGCCTAAAATCGAAAGGTTTGTGCAGGAGGGATGAAATGGTGGTAACAATCCCTTCAAATGCAACATCAGGTCTTCTGGGCCTAAAGTATGGGTAGCTCACATTTTGCCCTCCAGATTTTGTGGGACTTCCAGCTCCCATCAGCCCCAGCCAGCAAGGTCGATGGTCAGATGAATCCAAAACAACTGGAGGACATAGCACTGGTTACCCTCAGTCTGGCTACCACCAAGGCCCTATGCTAAACTAGACTCACAAATGAAGTCAGCCTGGGAAGATGGCACTAGACTTCAGCCTGGAGATGCTATCAATCACACATCTCTCCACCACTTCTGTTGGGTGGGGTCCTTTTCATGAAAACCTTTGCCCTGAGAAAAAACTTATCCCTTTTGTTTATTTTTAGCAGAGGAAACAGATGCAAAAGTGTTAACCAATTCAGGAAGAGAGTAGGAAACTTTGTCCCCGCTCTGAATTCTGTCTTCACGACACCTTCATGTACCCTGTGTGATGCTGCAACACCATGACACCACATTCAAAATACTAGCCCAACAGTTCCAGGAACAAACAGGAAGATGTGACCTGTGTTTACTAAATTGCCTCAGAGCAGTTAGTCAAGAAGGGTTGTGAGCTGGCATGAAAGAAAGCTGGGTACCATCGATTTGTTATCAGCAAAATGAAACAGAATTGTTTTAACTCAAATCAGAAAAAGAAGAATTCTGAAAAGTAAGTGCATTATGCCCTCTGAATTGAGGCAAATGCTTGCATTCATGCCATTTCTGCATTTGCTGAAAACATGATGATTTTGTTGAGGTCTTTGCTGGCCGTCCTTACCATTTGGCTATTTTCAACTACACACTGTTGATTATTACATATGCAAAAGCAGTATATAAGTATTTTGATAAATAAAGTAGGGTACAAGAGAGGCTTTTTACCTGCCATTATTAAAGCCTTCGGCCTCTGCAGAATGACAGGAAACCCTGTCTCTGTCTTCAGGGAAATAAGTAGGAAGATTATGCCAAGAGAAAAGTTAAATGAGAGACGATGGGGAACAGGGTGGGATATTTTTATGTCCAACAAATAAGGACCCAGATAATCAAATCTTAACTTGCTGGTTTGAGGCACTATTTATATAGTCCAAAGCACTCTAAATGTCATGAAAACTAGTGGAAGTTATGAAAGAGTCAAACATTGCCTCAGAGGATGGCAAGCTATTACTGGTTAGGGCAGACAACACTGTAGAATAAGTATCTGGAAGAAGGCAATGCCCTACATTCCTAAATAAACACACAATCTCGTCAAACGTCAAAGACTAAGTAAGACATTTTCTTTCCAATTAGATTGTTCCTCAGCATAGTAACAAACCCTCAAGACATTGACATCATCTCTCTTTACCTGGGAAGAGCTGACAATTCTTCTTTTATCTTTGCACCAGTCCATGCAGAGGACTTTATTGCCATGGCCTTTCAGTGTCCTTCTTGTCTTCATCACAAACTGACCCAAGGCCTCCACACGCTCTGCCACCTGATGAACTGCAGGGAATTCAAGACAGAGAGTCACTGTGTGCTTTGGCAACGCATGCAAAGATCCAAGATGATGCTCCCATGTTAAGTAAAAGGTTGTCAACAGGCCTGAAGCCTTAACTGTTGTGGCCAAGGGGCCTCAGGGGTGTGGAATTGTTGCAGAGCATGAAACAGAAATGATTTTATGGCATACTAATAAAATGCTAGACTCCAAGAGAAATTCACCCTAAAATGCTGATGAGTTTTCATAAGGATTAAAAAAAATTATAAACGCCACAAATTGCAGACAGAAATGTGTAAAGCTGATTTGAAGACTGGGAAAAATGAGCAATTGAGAGAAGCTAAAATTGATGGTTTCGTCCATCCATACAAATAAAATGACCTTTGTATAAAAAAGGGTAATTTCATAAAATTGAGAAATAAAGGCCTGTGGTTGTACTCAACTAAGTCCTGAAATTAAATTATCCAAGTGGAAGACGTTAAGTTGATTTCTAATTAATAGTTCACCCACTTTTTCTTATATCTTCAGAAGTAAACAGACTCTTTTATTTATCTAAAGGTTTGTCTTGTCCGTCCTCCAAGAAGCCCCGAGTGGTATACATTTTTATTCCCTCTCCCACCCACACATTTCCTTCTCACAACAGCCCTGTGTGGTAGGCTGGGCTGAGAGGGGTCACCCCATGAGCTGCTTTTCCCAGCGGGCATTTTTTTTTGTTTTTGTGTGAAAGCTGAAGATTCAGGGAAGCATCTGGAATTAGCCATGAAGAGGCCAGGTCCCTGACTGCTTCCACTGCAGGCTTTGGGCTTGCTGGGTTGCAACCCAGAGATTTACATGGTGCGCAATGAAATAACTGTGTATCTTGCGCTGCCCCTTATATAATGAGGCAAGAGAAAAAATTTTAGCACCTATAATGACATGATTTTATATCTCCTCACAGACACAGATAAGTATGTGACCTGGCGTGTAGCACTCTTTGAAACTGCCGCTAGGAAAATTAGAGCAAATTATATAGCCAAGGTAGCCACCAACTGTAAAGGAGATGAATTTATTTGACCCTATCTACATCAAGCTATTCCTGCCAACCTAGCAGTTCGAAAGCACGTCAAAGTGCAAGTAGATAATTAGGTACCACTCTGGCGGGAAGGTAAACAGTGTTTCCATGCGCTGCTCTGGTTCGCCAGAAGCGGCTTAGTCATGCTGGCCACATGACCCGGAAGCTGTACGCTGGCTCCCTCGGCCAATAAAGCGAGATGAGAGCCGCAACCCCAGAGTCGGTCACGACTGGACCTAATGGTCAGGGGTCCTTTTTCCTTTACCTTACATCAAGCTATATTCTATCTTTATCACCAAACTCTGAATATAATTGCACACTGTTTTAATTAACATTATTTTTTAATATATTAGTGGCCATGTGATTATTTTAGCTTATAAATTTTACTGCTTAATGTCTTAATTTGTATATTAAGGTACTTTTATAGCTCTGTTTAGAGTAGGTAACGTCTTGATAATATAAATGTTTTAAGTTTTCTGTATCAATCCAGTATATTTTCTTTTATTTGTTGAATGATTCTGTGTACATTGCAGCAGCCTTTGGCTATGTGCAATAAAACTGACTGACTGACTGACTGACTGACTGGAACTGTGACCCACTTGCTCTCTATTGGATCTGGAGTGTGATGGGGCAGGTAAAAAGACTTGGAGAAGAGGGGCCTCCATGGGGGAGACAGCTGTGGCTGCTTCATCTCCCCCTTTTACTACAGAATTTGACCTCTGGCTTACAACTTCAGCAAAGTGTGCATGCCTAAAGTTCAAGGCAGGCCTCTGCTTTCTACTGGTGGAACACAATGGTCCCAAATACTGTTTGGGCACCAACTCTTATTTCCTGAACGCCAGTTTTTATTTTTGGACAGGACTCCTGGACCCAGTAATGATGGGCAATGCTTTATATATGACTTATTTGGCTGCAGCTCAAACAACCCTTTCCTCCCTCTTTCTAAAGTTACTCATTGATTTATTAGCCTTTCAGTCATCATCCTAAAAGGAAAGCACTCAGTTGCATCTCCCTGAAAGTAGGAAAGATCCTCTTTTCAGCTGCAAAACTGAGAAGAACATCCCCGCATAGCAAAAGCCACAGCCAACAACCACCGTTGAACCATTTTCTAACTATAAAGCCTTAGAACCTATTAGAACCTCATATTCAGTGACTCCCAAGTAGCATTTAGTGGCTCCCATATCTAGTGCCTCCTATACCTGTTTTGTTATTAATAGACTTCTACACAAACATCTCAAGGTGATGTACAAGAAAAAAAGCAAAAGACCAGTTAAAAACACCAAGAAATGATCCATTTTAAAAAAACAGAACAATACAAAATAGACACTGGTGGCAAAGACACACCTTTGCAACTGGTAAGGCCTGCCAGAAGAAAAATGTCTTCAATTTAAACCCTGGGATTCAGGATCTGAGGGTCTAATAGTTATTTCCTATTTCCTTCATTTCACTAAATTTATAAATGATGGTTTAAAAAAAATCAAAAAGTTTACAAAAAGATAAAACAATAAAATCGTGATTTGTTTATTTTTACAATCATACTTAAAAACAAGCAAAAATTTGAATACTAAAACAAACTGCCTCGACTTTCTGAGCATCTGGGTAGGCTTGCCTGAAGAAGGATGTTATTAGCAGGAGCCTAAAAGAGTACAAGGGACGCGGGTGGCGCTGTGGGTTAAACCACAGAGCCTAGGACTTGCCGATCAGAAAGTCGGCCGTTCAAATCCCCGCGACGGGGTGAGCTCCCATTGCTCGGTCCCTGCTCCTGCCAACCTAGCAGTTCGAAAGCACGTCAAAGTGCAGGTATATAAATAGGTACCGCTCCGGCGGGAAGGTAAACGGCGTTTCTGTGTGCTGCTCTGGTTCGCCAGAAGCGGCTTAGTCATGCTGGCCATATGACCCGGAAGCTGTACGCCGGCTCCCTTGGCCAGTAAAGCGAGATGAGCACCGCAACCCCAGAGTCAGTCACGACTGGACCTAATGGTCAGGGGTCCCTTTACCTTTAAAAGAGTACAGTAAAGGCACCTGCTTGATCTCAATAGGCAAGTATTGGTGCTGCCTCATTATACAATGGGGCTCTTGCAACAATGGAACGGGCGTTACGTGGCACCTGCAGCAGTGCCAATTCTGTCATTTGAAGCAGTCAAGTGGGCACATGTGGGGATAGACAAACTGGTCCCAAGTTTTTAATAGTCACACTTTGAACCTGGCCCCGGTAGCAAATTGATAACCAGTACAGATATGTTCTAAATCTCTAACGTTTATGAGAAACCCGGGCAACTATTTTCCTTGCAAGCAGATTTTCTGGTAGAGCAGAGTGAGGAGCTTATGGCTTCCTAGATGTTACAGGACTACAATTCCCATCATCCCTGACCACTGGCTATGCTTCAAGTCAGACGGTGAAGCTTTAAGGCTCCACAAGAGAGCAGAGCCTGGAAACAGGAGTCTGAGCACAGGTGCCCAAAGGCTTATCCACACTTACCTTTCCAGGCAAGGTCCACACTTTAAAGCTCGGACACTGAGCCTTTTTCTTTTTTCTTCTTGCCCCAGAGCTTTTCCCATGAAAACCTGCTCTTTAAAGCTCAATCGGAGCAAACTGCAATCCGAATGGACGTTTGCTCCAATTGAGCGCTAAAGAGCAGGGTTTTTGCAGGGAAAGCTTTGGGGGCATTAAACCCCAAAACACTCAGACTTGTGCCTGGAAAGATCAGGGCAAAAGGTAAGTGGGAATAATCCCTAAGAGTTGCTCACTTGTCGCTCTCCATGGTCCTGCATCTTGTGATCTTGTCTTGCTGCCTTCCCTCTGTGGGATCCAGCATCATGACACATTCCTTAGCATTTTGATTTATTATTTTTATTGACAGTTCTTTTGCTTTATTGGATTCTAGCCTTGATTTTAATGAGTTGTTGTTTGCTTGGTAAACCACTTTAGAGGGGTTGTTTGTTTTGGGGGCATTTTTGGTATATTAAAGGTTTAGAGGGGTTGTTTGTTTTGGGGGGATTTTTTGGTATATTAAGCAACCTCTAAATTAATTAAATAAAGAAATAATGGTTAACAGGAAAGTATGTTTAAAGCTCACATGCTCACAAATTTATTGACAGCTGCACAAATTATGATAGCTAGGAAGTGGAAGGGGCAAGCAGAATATAAAATGGAAGAATGGTATAAAGAGGTGTGGGATATAGCTATTAATGATAAATTAACTTGGGCCATTAAGGTAAGATGAAGAATATGCAGGAGAAATTATTCTGAGGAGATATGGGGGGTGTTTGTAGAATTTGTACTGTTAAAATGGAAAGGGGTCAAACCATCGCAAGAGGTGTTGAAATTTTGGAAGGTTGGATAGTTACAATGGAATGGTCTTGGGGGTGGGGTGCACATTTTTATTCTTATTTATGTATGATTATTACTTTGTAAACAAATAATAATTAAAAAGGGAAAAAGTAAAGTGTTCATTCCATCTGAACAGCAACAACAACAACAACAACAATGTAATAAAATACTTGAGGTTGCAGCCCTGTACATGCTTACTTGGGAGTAAAGACATTGGACTCAATAGGACTGAATCTTTATGTTGACACTTTAAGGACATAAGAACAGCGTCCTGCTTCCACAGAGGCTGAACAAATGCCCCCAGAAAGTCCGAAAGCAGGAATGAGTTGGTCACCATGTACACCCCAACTTTGGGGGCCCATTTGCAAATGGTGGGGGGAAACTGTTCTGGATCCCATGCACACAAACATGCAGCCTCCCTCTTGCCCCCCTTCCCACCAATGAGACTTAAAAATGTAATTTGGGTGTCCCCACCCTGCAAGCCTCTTTGGGCATGTGCAGCGGGCAGGGGCTAATCTTACAGAAGAGTGGAAAAGAGAGGGGGGAGAGGGAAATAGCCTTTTTCCTCCAGCTGCAATTTCTAGGAAGATCAAACCCCACCTCACCCCATAACAATCAGTCATGCTTGAAAAAAGTCTTTCACTGGCTCCAATAGAAGGCTTTTTCAAGTCTAACTGAAACATGAGAGGGGCATGAGAGGGACACAGAGCCAGTAGCAATGGGGTCTTTTTTTAAAAAAAAAAAAGTATTAAAGATTTTCAAGAAATAGAAAGGAACGTGCAATGTCTCTTTTTTGTTGTTAAGATTATAAAGTCTTTTGGTTACGTTCAGTGTAAGACAACATGCAATTAGGTTTGAAAAAAGTGTTATATTGTCTACAATGCAAGGTTTATTATTAAATGAATTGTGGTGTTGGTAGGATCTGGGGGCAGATGGATTACCGCTGGGTAAGGGAGAAGCTTCTTTCAAGCCTAATTTCAGCAGGTGGGGTGAGGGGAATGGGACCCAGCAGGCTCTTGCAGGTGCAAGCACACCTGTGAGTGTTGTGCTGGCATCCCCACGCAAATCTAAAAAACAGATGGCAGGCATGGTGATCCTGTGACCCTACAGATGCTGGACTACAACTCCCATCAGCCCCAGCTAGCATGGCCCCCATAGAGCCATGGATTATGGGAGTTGTGATTTAGCAACATCTGGAGGGCCGCAGGTTCCCAAAGCACAGCTCTGAATGCTGTTATTCTTCTCAGCCAACTTAAAAGTTTCCCTGCCTTCCCAAATAGCAACTCCCCCTCCATCTTCCAGCCCTGTAAAGCAGCCTTTGCCAACATGGCGCCCTCCAGATGTTTTGGCATGTAGATCCCATCAGCCCCCAGGCACCACAGCTAACGGGTTGGCGAAGGGCTGCTCTAAAGAGCTCTAGAAACAAGCAAGGCTGGGGAATCCTCTCTTTCTCAGGAAGTCAATCTACCATCACGTTTCCAATGTTTGCAGACAGCAGCAGATGGATTTAATCAGGCAGGGCTTTTAAGACAGCAGAGGGGGGGGGGGAAACTGAGTGGGTTTTTTCTTTTTTAATGCAACTGTTACATAAAAGACAGGTGCCCTGCGGTTTGCCCCTGCCCCTGTTTCTCATTGGGTCGCCTTAAACGCTCTCCCCCGGCCTGGATCTGGCTACCATTATTACAGGAACCGAGCATCAAGCCCATCCTTGCGTGCACATCGCCTCTTGCATTCCCTGGCATGTTTACATCTCACCAAAACACCCCCAACCCCCACGAATAAACACACATCTGCTTCTGAGGATCAGGCATCCAGCGACGACAGGGGATATTCCACTCCTCCTGCCTCGATAAATAAATAGCTTTTATTTACAGCCCCTGCCCCACTTTATTTCCAGGCTTTCGTATTCAAACGCAGCAGCTAGCTAGTGATGCTGTTGGATATGACGATGATGCGAAGGGCGCTTTCCTTGCATCCACGCTCGGAAGAAGCACAACACGGGGAGGGGCAGGTGGAAGAGATGGACGTGGAGGGAGGGGGAGGCAGGATCCCCGGATCCCCACCCCCGATCTCCCATCGAACAAGCCCAGCACCCCACCCCCACCCCAGGATCCTTGGGCCACCCCCCAGAATTGCTCCTATGATGCGCAGCTCCCTGTTCCCGTCTCTCTCTCTCTCCTGCCATCTCTGCTTCGGGTGGAGGGCAGCCTCTCCAAGGCAGCCCAGCGCCCCCCCCCCGCCCCCCCTTCCCGGCCCCGGACTCACGCTCCACGTCGTGCAGCTTGGCCCTCTCCTCCTCCAGCTTGCCCTTGAGGCTCTCGGCCTCGGTCTTCAGCGACGCCAGGGTCTCGTTCTCCTTCAGCCCCTCGGTTGCCATCTTTGCAAGGAGGAGAGGGGGAAAGAGACAGTGAGGCGGGAGGAGGAGGAGCAGCAGCAGCAACAGCAGCTCCGGATCCGCCCAGCGAGCAGGGAAGAGGGAGGCCCCGCCCTCCTCGACGCTGATTGGCGCGCCCGAGGCAAGGCGGACGCTTGTCCCACTCGGGCTAGGCAGGGCCGGGCCGGGCGGAGGCATCTTCTTCCTGCACCTTAAACGGGAAGGGACCGGGCTGCAGGCTGGGACATACCTGCCCCCCCCCCATAATTGCTCATTTGATGTGGCACATGCACACTGTTAAGTTGTGGGTGAACATATTAGGCAACACAGCAATTCTTCAAACAGCTCTTGTTTATTCACAGGCCAGAACAGAACTGAACTGTAGGGTTCAGCCAGCCTGCTTATATAGAGCTCCACTACAACGCAACAGTAACCATTTTCCGTAACTATCCAATCACTGAATGTCACTTTCAATCCCTTATTTGCATATGTTGGACCTGAGTGAAAACTATCCACAGTATCCCCCTGCTGGCCCAGGGTGAGAACTTCAGTACATAACACACACTATTTGAATGGCACTGCCCATTAACTTTGGGGGGCCCAGCACCCTCAGATATTTAACCGGGGGCCCAAGGCCCCACGGTGCCTAGGAGCTGGCTCCTATGCATGGAATTGTAGAATCATAGATTTGGAAGGGATCATCTAGTCCCAGGGTTCCCAATGTGGGGCACCCCCCCCCACGGGGGGATTTGGTTTTTAAGGGGGGCAATTCAAGAATTTCCTCAATTCAACATTTCCTCGTAGAGTAGCTCCATCCCCTTAATTGTTTTGATTGCTCTTTCCTGAAACTTTTCCAACTCTGCGATGTCCCTCTTGAAGTGATACTCAAGGTGATGTACAGTGGTGTCCCGCAAGACGAATGCCTCGCAAGACGAAAAACTCGCTAGACGAAAGGGTTTTCCGTTTTTTGAGTCGTTCCGCAAGACGAATTTCCCTATGGGCTTGCTTCGCAAGATGAAACGTCTTGTGAGTTCTTGCGAGTTTGTTTCCTTTTTCTTAAAGCCGCTAAGCCGTTAATAGCCGCTAAGCCGCTAAACCGCTAAGCCGCTAATAGCCGTGCTTCGCAAGACGAAAAAACCGCAAGACGAAGAGACTCGCGGAACGGATTAATTTCGTCTTGCGAGGCACCACTGTACAAGAAAAATAGCAAAAGTTTAAACCACCAAGAAATGATCCATTTTAAAAAATAATACAAAATAGACATCGGTGGCAAAGACACACCATTGCAGCTGTTAAGCCTGCCGGAAGAAAAATGTCTTCGATTTAAATCCTGGGATTCAGGATCTGAGAGTCTAATAGTTATTTCCTATTTTCTTTATTTTATATAAGTTATAAATGATGGTTAAAAATAATAAAAACAATTTACAAAAAGATAAAAATCAAGATTTTTTTTTTTACAACCATACTTATTGAAGTGATACTCTGATTTGTTTTTATTAGGTTTATGTGTGTTTTTTTCTCTTTCCCATTGCATTTTGTTTTTGTAAAGCACTTTGGGACATTCCGTTGCAGGAAGCAATTCATAAATTCATAACGGCGTATGTCTACTTGGAAACTTCCAGTGAGACTGAGTCCCAAGGAAACATATGCTCTATCCAATAAATTTACAGTTTACAGTCATACCTCAGGTTACAGACGCTTCAGGTTATACATTTTTGGGTTGCGCACCACGCCAAACCCGGAAGTACTGGAACGGGTTACTTCCGGGTTCCAGCGCTCGCACATGTGAAGAAGCACTAAATCACGGTTTGTGCATAAGCGCCGAATCATGACCCGTGCGTGCGCAGACGCGGCGCTGCGGGTTGCGAACGTGCCTCCCGCACGGATCATGTTCGCAACCCGAGCGTCCACTGTATCTTATATAATTCCCTCCCTTCCATTTTTTTTCAACCCAATGTTGTACCACTTCCTCTTCCGCACCCACACATTCCACCCCCAAAATCAGTATGCAGCATATGTTCGTTGAAAACCATTTAAAAAACCCAGTGAAATAGAAACAACCACATACCATTTCCACACATAGTGAGCAGTAGCTGACTTTTTCTGATTTGCGGTATATCTCCCGGAGGGCTCTGTCTTTGGAACAATTGTCACATGGGCCAAACACATTGGCCAAAAAGGTCTGGTCACACATCTTTGCTGGGAGTTGGAACTGAAAGGGCAAGAGGTGGGGTGGAACAGGTAGGTGCTTGAAAATGATGCACGAAGCATTTCACCAGGGCTGGCCCAGCCCACGTTTGTACACAACACACATTTAAAGCACAGGTGTTCCCTCCACCCCAAAGACTCCTGGGAACTTCAGTTTACTCCTCACAGAACTACAATTCCCAGCACCCTTCCATACTGCTCAACAACCCTGATTTAAGTGGGACATCAGAGAATTACAGAAGCCATCTCGACTTCTGACTGGATCCTGGAATGTCCCTCCTTTTGATCCACCTGAACAAAAGGTGCTTATTTTGGGGGGGATAAATCAGACAGAAATTCCCAGGTGTCAAAAAAGGTTATTTATTTATACTGCTACTGCGGCCTGTGTTTTGTTAGCCCAAGAATGGAAAACTAAAGAAGAATGGCAACTTAAACCGATGGAATATGCACAGCTTGCAGATTTAACATATAGAACAAGAGAACAAGGAAAACATCTGTTTAAAGAAGATTGGGAAATGTTTGTTGAATATATGGGTGAAAATTGTGTACATTTAAAAATGCTGGTAGCATTAAGATAAATTTGACAATTTTTAAGTGCTGTCCATGAAGAAAGAATGGGCCATGATAAAGAGACTTAGTGGTTCTTAATGGTAGGTGATGTTGCTGTGCTGTATTATATTATCTATGTACATAGATTTATTTCTTGGAGTTAAGAATAGGTCTGAGATAAATTGTGTTCGCTGAGCCTGTATTTTATACAGTCTGTATATGATGTTTGTTTGATAATGTGTGGTGTGATATGCCTAATAAAGGATTTTGAATTGAAAAATTGATAAATTTGACAGTATAAATAAGTTTTGATGGATGTAACAATGGAATATTCAATAGTAAAATATGCAGTGATTTATGGTATGCAAACTGAACCACGGGAGAAGAAGAAGAAGAAGAAGAAGAAGAAGAAGGGGAGTCATTTATTTATTTATTTATTTAAGTGGTAAAAGGATGTTAATTAGAAGACATTGTGATGGTGCAGCTTAGATATTTTTTCTCCACTATTGCCAACTTCTTTGGTTTTTTTTAATATAGCTCCTTTTTTTCTGTTCATTTGTTCCTTCCTTCCTTGGATTCGATCAGTAAAGGCTCCAGCAATACTCTAGATTGTGAAGCGCCGGCTGTAAAACCTCCCCAAACAAACAGTCCTGGGAACTGTAATTTGTTAAGGGGGCTGGGAATTGTAGTTCTTTGTAGTAAACTATAGTTCCTAGAAATCTTATTTTTGGTGGGGTGTACATTAAATGAATGCAGCCCTTCAGGGACAAGGAAAAAAGTATGCCGGGACGACGACAAAACAAGGGGAGGCACAAAGAATCTCAGAATATACGGAATATACAAATATGGAAAAGCAAGAGGTCGTTCCTCAATCCATTTACTGTTATTGTAACCATTTCAAAGTTGCTTTACTTTTTACATTTCTATTAAAAGCCACCTAGCAAGAGCTCACCCTAAAAGGCAGGGAAGAAAATAATAAAACAAACCAAAGAGCGCTGTATTTTGATCTGCTGTAAAAATTAGCTATATTGCTTGAGGTTTGAGACTTCCAAGTCAAAATATCATACTGCTTACCTTCTTTTCCCTGGAGCAAGAACCTTTTGCCTTCCAGACACTTCAAAGGAATAATCTTCTGTGCAAGTAGAATTGCACAAGGACAAGCTTAATGCTGAGGTAATCTCCTTAGAGGGTATTAAGACACAAGCCTGCACTTTTGGATTGTAGCACCTTCCACGTTGCTGGTTTACGTGCCAGAGACTAACAACTGTTCTCAGTGGAAAACTCTCATGGGTGCAAGAGAAAATCCCAGGATACCAATTTTACACATCAGTCAAATTGTGCCCTTTTTAAAGTCATGGTTCCAGGTTTTACATGCTTTTATTCTGTATGAAACATGCTTACAGATATCAATCAAAAAGGCCCCCTGAGCGAGGCCTTTGCATCAAAGTGGGAGCCATTTTGAATCCATCTGTATGGCATTCAGTTTCCTGTCAGCCATTAACCGATCAAAAGGCTTCAAAGCAGGGGGGAAATTATTCCTTAAAATGAGCCCAGCAGTCATACTTATCTAGCCTGTGTCTTTTAATCTGTTCTACAATGCTATCTATTTTATAGGCCAGGGCTTAGAAAATGGGAGTTATTGTGCACATTACTTGTGAGCTAAGTCTTTTAGCATCCGCCCCCCCAATGAAATCCATCCTCAGCATAGCTGTCAAGTGTCCCTTATTTGAAGGGACAGTCCCTTATTCTAGCGCCATGCCCCGCTGCTGTCCCTTATTGATAGATGTCCCTTAAATGTCCCTTAAATGATGTGCCTTAAATTTCAAAGGAAGCAGCTCCTCTCCCTGCTGGCCAGGGAGGAGGGAGGCTCCAACTGTGTTGCTTGGCTGTGTTGCTCACCCAATAAGAAGTCTAAGAACGACTGGGGGGTGGAGCTTGCATGCCTTGTGTGCGGCTAGTTAATGCAAGCTGAGGGGTTTTTTGAATGCTTTACGCCATTTTGTTGCACGTGCTGCTGCAAACTTTGCAGTGCAAAGCCAGGCCGGGGAGCCATCTTAAGTTGAGGCTGCATAGGCCTTGTGGTGCATGTGATTTAGATTCTGTTCATTTGAACCTCTGGTTACAAAGTTGGTTGGACAGTGTTCTCGAAGCTACCAGCATGAGTTTGACCAGACTGCAGGAGGACAGGAAGACTGGAGTGCCTGGAACAGGTGAGGCTGCAGGTCCCTTATTTTGGCTGCTGGTCCCTTATTTTCAAGGCTGCTGGTCCCTTATTTTCAAATCTGTAAGTTGACAGCTATGATCCTCAGTCGGCCACCGAAAGTTTA